TCAGCACCTTCCCACCTCACCCTTATTTATCTTGGCAGAAGGACTTCCTAGGACGCTTCAAGACGGAGTGTTTTCACTCCATGGCATCAGCTTTACTTGGATTCGGCTACACTTTCCACTAGCTATTACATGTCCACACCACTCTAAACTTCGACTAACAAGCAGATGGCTATCTGTAAATTAAAAAAAATATAATACAAAAAGCCTAGCTTTAGCTGCCACACACACAAAAAAACATCAACCAAGTAATTTAGGTTTCCTTTTCAAGCGGACGACATGCTTATTAAAGCAGCCCTAGCAAATGACTGCGAATTAACTTTGACCACATGTTTTTTTATGCTGCCCGTAAATCTAAGTACACGTGCAATTTCGCGCTTTTGTTCCATCGAAACGCGACCGCCGTGGCAGGACATCATACCTGAAGGAATCGTAGAGCTCGTATACCGGCTAAATAACATTTGACGCAGGGTCCGCCGCAGTGGTGGAGAGGTTACGGTAATCGGCTGCTTAGCCCAAGGCCGCAAGGTTACACCCCAGCCTTGGTGGTCGCATTTCGATGGAGAAAAAATGCCAGAGGCTGTGTACTGGGCGAAATCAGTGTACGTTAAGGAACGCCAGATGGTGAAAATCACCGGCCGTTTCCTCTACGACGTGCCTCATAATGAAATCGTGGTTTGTATATGTCAAACCCCGGATAATATTATTATTGCCTGCAGAGTTGCCAGGGAGCGTAGTAGCGAAAACCTCGGGTATTATTTTAACTATTGCCAGCAGAGTCACCACTGAACTAATTTATATTTTATGCAGTAATCACCAACCGCTCTCTTGTTCGTCAGTAATTTCTTGCAAATCATCTCCGACTGCCTATTCGTAAAGATCAACAAATCTGTGTGAGGTCGTGCGTTCATTTTAAGAGAGCAACCGCCGGGACACTTGCAATTATTTAAATAACGCTTACAGTATAACTATATATACATTGCACCGGTACATATATACTTTGATATATCTGTGTCTGCCGTGAGGGTGTAAAAGTTATGGTGCTCAGCTGCTGACCCGAAGGTCGCTGGTTCGATCCTGGCCAAGGCACTTGCTTTTCGTTGGAAGCAAAACGGTCGAGGCCCGCGTGCTTTGCGACGTCAGTGCACGTTAAAGGACACCGAATGGTTGAAATTTTCTGAGTCAGCCACCACAACGTCAGTCGTAAGCATGTCGTGGTTTGGGGACGTAATTCTTCATGTAATATTATTATTACTAGTACAAACTTAAGTCTATCCCTGCTCTCATACGCACACATTCCACCAACTGCCGCTCTTTTGTAGTCGCGCGTGTGTGAGCTGTAGCTATATAGTGAGCGCGAACTTCTCCCGCACGTGATGTCGTCGAGGCAGGAACCTCCCCCATTGTAGCTCAAGCGCTGCGACGCTTCGCTGCCTCTGAAAGGCGCCCCCGCATCGGAGTGAATGCTCCACTTCCTGTCATATCTCTCGGCGGCGCGCGTCCGCCGTCCTGGCCGGCGCGACATTCCCCTAATCGATTGGCCGCTCTCGTAGTGCACTCGAAGTGGCCGGGGTTCCGTGCATTACGTGGTCCAAGCACGTGAGGGGCTCTTCAGTTTTGCGCGACGCAACGCGAACGAATCGAAGGCGAGATGCCTGTAGCCACCCTCCGGCATTTTCTAGGTGGCACTCGAAAATACTCTGTGGTCTTCGCAAAAGGGGCGCGTCAGCGTGCATTTTGCGATTCAACGTCTTCGAAGTTGGTCATGACGGCCGAAAACCCGGGTTTTTCTTGCTCGGTTCCGTCTTCCCTCTTCAAAGGTTTTCAGCCCACCCTCCTCCCCCCCAGGTCTGTTCTGTTCGGTCGAATGCGGAGAGGATAGGGAGTGGGCGGTAGGATTAGTAAATTGTTGTGCATCTAAAGCAAAGCTGCCGCTATGCAGTGGATCGTGACTGCAATGAAGATTCAGCGCACCCTGTGGCGCAATCTGTGAGCCTGTATGCTTGCCTGTGGTGTCCGTGTAGTTTATCCGCGTCACTCGCTGTTTTTCCCGCGTGACAGGAAGACGAATGGGTGCTCTACCATTCGGAGCTGTGGAAATGCAGCCCTGGTCGTTGTAGGCGCAGAGAATGTGTGACACTTTTCTTGAGTGGAGCACCACGCAAGTACACACGCACGCATGCACGCACAGATGCACGCAAGCAAGCGAGCATGTACAACAACGCTCAATAGGAGTTTCAAAACACTGTCTGCAAAATAATGGCGCCAACCCTGCAAAGTGTATTCTATATAGAAACAAATGAGCGAATTAAGCTCTTCATTCAGCGGTACATTCTGATGCAATTTAACGTTTGTCGGTGTCACTGTTCAGGCTTGGGGTCAGTTTAACCACAACCAGTGTGTTGCCACTCATGTTGAGCATGACTGTACAATTACAGTACCCAGCTTGAGTAAGTATACAGGTGAAGGCCTGGGCTGTCTCGATACACTCATTATCTCATTACTTACTTAGTTTCTATTATTCGTTCTCGTTCCATTGCCCGGCGATCACCACTGGTTCTACATGCTAAGACTTGATCACCAAAGTGTTAACATGGCATCTGTGTTAACATTTCACTCGTTTCAGTTCACTGGCATTTCTGTCTGTGTCCACTTGTATTTCATTCACTCGGATACTCTTATTACTGTAGTTTACCTTGGTTCGCCTTAAGTTCCCTCTAGTTCACTAATTCACACTTGAATCATGTTACTGGCCTAATAAACTATTTTATTACATGTGATACCAATACTACACTGAGTCCGCCTCCACCTCTCCGCCTTACTGAAGATTGTGTACACCGCGTGGTGTCATGCTGCCTTCGAAACTGGATCATCGTTCGGTACAATTCATGTTCAGTAACAGACGCCAGATTGTTTTAGTTGCGCATGAGCCACATAAGACTTTCAATTTTGTAGAAGGGGGAATGCAACCGGCATTTGATTATTTTAGAGTGAGTTGGTGGTGCATTACTATTTCAAAAGCATTCTGCGATTTTCTGTGCTAAAACCAATGTATACGTGTATCTACGAGTTTCTCCTTGAAGGAGCGTTGCAGAATAAATTTTAGTCCGAGTAACTGTGGCGTGCTTATAAAGCTACGTATAGAGGCATTTCTTGCGTTTCGGCACCGTCAAAGGGGGGCCAGCGGGGTAGTTATTCGAACACACGTCATCGGATGTAGCAGCGCGTCACATTACATAGCCGCTAAGATGTACGTCGGATGCTAGCATGACAGAGCAAAAACTTAAATACTATTAACATTGAATAGCATCTGTAGCGCTGTTGATAAGTGTACGTGTCTCTCTGTATTCGCGCTGTCGGGCTTTTTGGAGTTACATCTCACTAGCACGCTGCAGTGCACTTTTGTTATGGGTGCAAATGTGCTGCGTGCACGAAGAGGTAGTAAAGGGGCGCATCGTGCTTATGTTTGGCGGTTTGCTGCTTTGTATGTTTACTGGTGCTGCCAGATTTGCAACGCTGCATTATTAATGAACGTTTGTGTGCAATCGCGACAAACATAGAGGAGAAAGCGGTTTTTCATGTTTTGCATCATACCCGCAGTATTCAGTTGGTTTCGTAACTTGACTTGTAAACGTGTCTATCACTCCTCCTCTCTTTGAATGTTGTCCCTCTTCTTTTCTCTTTTTTTCGCTGACAGTTTGTCGCGCTAGAAGGTTTTTGGGCTCACGAGAAGACCGCTGTGTATGGTAAATTAAATAAGCTAAAGAGAACGCATTAAACTTATTTTCCGTGGCACGATTGATTATCTACAGCGATAATATCGCCAGGTTGCGCAGAACCATAAACCAGTATAGATTCTGAAACTAATGATTGTTTCGGTGATCGCGCAGTTTGACAGATCGTTCGCCTAAACGTTCTGTATTCAAAGCATTGGTGTCGCTGCCTTGTAGGTTGTCGTCGAACAATTGAAAGGAACAAGTGCTGACTTACCTGAATGTGAAGACTTGTCAGCTGCGACGACGCTTCTTGAATAGGTCAAGAGTACTCTCGGTAGTTATTTCATTTTTTTATTCCCCGCAGTCACATCGCGGCATCTTATGTTTCATGGAACTTAGAGAAAGATTAAAAATATTTCAACAGGGTGTGTCGCTAGACCGAAAGTCCTGACAAGCAGTCTTTTTTATTCTCCTAAAGGCTGCCTTGAGGAAGTCACGGCGACTTGTCTTAACACGTTAGCTCCAGTGACAGCGTTTGCCACCTTCAAGTCTTCACCTTCTCCAGAACCTCTGCCTTGTCTGGTAGTTAGGAAGTTCTACTTGCGAGGGATTTTTCGGGGGCACTGCTGAACACCAGTAATATGAGATGTACAGCGCTGCATTGATTATAAGAGATCGCAGAGAGCTCCACAATTATTTCAATATAAACTATCCTTAAGACATGCGCCCTGCGTACTTTGCCAATAATTCGACTGAAAGCGCGGCAATCCCTCTGCAATGTCTTCGTGTGTGGAAACCAGGGTTTTAAGAGATTTTTTTTTATAAACGCCGATACCATGCTTGTCCAATTTTACGAAAAGCTTCTTGGCTACAGGTAATGTTTTTGTCGTATGGTATGATTGTCGAAAACCGCGTCAATGGTTATTCTTATCACGAAAATACAAAATTTGAAGGATTTTAGTTGCTTTGCTTATGGTCGCAGCTGCCGCGTGATGCAAGTTCCAGGTCTAGGGGTCAATAATGATGCCACTCTTTTGCCAGGGCACGTGATTCTTTCGATAATTCCGGTGTGCATTGCCGTCACTTTTCTCACTTCCGTTGAATCTGTTATGTTTCATTTTATTTTCTCTTTAATTTGTTTGTGTGATTCTGTATATACATAGATGGATCAGTCTCTTAGTCTTCATTTCTGAAATGTGTAAACAGTTTTTGCTCGTTTGTTTGTGTGTGTATGTATGTGTGTGGTGTGCGTGTGCGTGTATACAAAATACATGCACAAGACAGCCATTATTTTTGTTCCTAAATATTTTATTTGCTGCGAACACCATCGAAATTGTATATCGTGTTACAAGTCGACCTTGTTGGTATAAACGAATCTCAGTGTACGGGCTTTCGCACTCGTAGTCGGGCAGCAGAGTCAGCTGTCGTGTCATGCCTTTGCTTTTTCACTGAAGTCCAGCTGCATTGTCCTCGATGATCATAGACGCTGCCTTGCTGCCAATCATCATGCTTGGCGCATTTGTGTGACCCGTTATTATGTCGGGCATCACGGAGGCGTCGGCTACCCGCAGGCCCGTCACTCCACCGCGGACTCTGCGTGCGAAAGTGTTGACATAGTACAGACACTACAGGAAAGCTATATAGCTTTCCTGCGACGGAGATAGCCAAACCAACGTGAGCGTCACTGAAAGAATTGTGTGCAAACGTGGTTTTCTTGCGATATGACGAGGAACAATCTGTATATTCGGATGTCGCAACTCGAACCTGAGGAAAAAACAACCGTCCTAGCCACGAGCAGCTATAGCATCCTTTTTTAATAATGTGTGGGTATTGAAGAGACACTTGATCAACTGTACATAACCGCATAGTGCTCTTCATCGTTTCTCGGGACACCTCTTGAGTTTGTTCAATGACTCGGATGTGACTGGTATTACCACATCTTCCTGCCTAAAAAGCCGTGTAAAGGACTGCATCGCAAGTAATGGGGCTGGCTTAAACGATTGCAGATGCCGCCATTTATGGCAATTGGGGTGTTTATTCCCCCCCCCCCCTCCAAACGACACGAATATGGCAGACACCGTAGTGGAAGGCTCCTAAAATTTAATCACCTTCGGTTTTTTACTGTATGTCTAAACTTACGCACATTGACCTTTAGCATGTTATGTACGTCGAAATGTGGGCGCAGCGCGTGGACTCGATCCCGCGACCTTAGGATCAGCAATCAAGCGCCTTAGTTCAATAACCACTAGTTGCTCACGCCAGGCCAGACATGCCCCCACTATTGTGGCGAATGTACACTGAATTATACTAAATTGCGAGTTTTTGAACGCAAAAAATCTACTCGACACACCGAATAATTGATTGTGTGCATACGACAAACGCATATTATAGTGTATGAGCATAGGAGACCGTCTAATATGCGAAATTTTCTGCCGGTGAATACACACGGAAACCTGGTTGACTGTTCTAGAATGATTGCCATTTCGGCCCAGCAGTGCATTATTCGCTTTTTTTTGTTACTTTGCAGAGTGCACCTGCGCACATCGACAAGGTGCAGTTTCAGCTATACGAGTTTTTTCAAATGTTGATTCCCACAAGCGGGTGAGCTATTCTCGTGGTGTCCACTTAGTGCACTTGGGCCTCCACTGATTGACTGCAGCTCGGCAAGCAGCGCGCCACCTGTTTGCGGTTTTCATCCCGCAACGTCATCTTGACGCCACGCAGCATAAAGTTTCATACCTAGAGGGGAATCTGGCGCTAGTGTCTACGCGGGCTCCTTCAGCGGCGCTTGTACCGCCATGGGAATTATGGGAAGTACAGGCTTCGGATCTGCTTCGCATGGATTAGTTTCTTGAAATTCACAACGCTTGTTTGCCTAATATAAAAAAGGGTGATATGAAGTTGTATCTAATTGAAAATTGCGTAATTATTTTGTGCATAAACATTATTGCAAAAAGTTTCCGCGACCATGACGTAGAAGTGAAAGCTGGCCAATTTATTCACCAGGGTATGCATTACTTTATGATTGCGTTCCAGATTTGGCATCAAATTACAATCATTTTTACAACACTCAAAAATAAACATGCTTTTTCTCAAAAGTATGCATGATCTGTTTATAGAATTAACAGTACACTATTAAGTGAGAAACCTATAACGTGTCGTTTGATGCTATGCTAGGTGCGTCTGTCCAAGTAGTCTGCTCCCAACGTACCTCTCGTTTTGTTGTGAAGTCCAGTGAGAGGAGCGTGACGGTTCGTCTACTTAGCTTTGCAGTCGTTTTACAGTCAATTTTAACGATTTTCGGCAAGACGCGCTATTGAAGAGGCGTGAATACCATACCATATCGTGCACTGGCGTGGGATGCTACAGTTATGCGCAGCGGTGAGTGTACGACGTTTTGTTTAAACTGTGAAATGCAACTAGTAAAGGTCCAATGGCGCAGCAAATCAAGTGATTTAGCGGCCTTGAGCCCCTTGGAATCGCAGAGGTGTTGCTTCAATGCTTTGCACCGCACTCAACTACGCCCAACTACGCACGCTGCGCGAAGAACGAAACTGAACCTGTAGAAAAAGATTCGTAGAGATTTCGCTAGCTAATGCAATCCAATCCGAAGCCTGTACTTCCCATGATTCCCATAGGGCTAGAATGATCGCAGCACCAGATTGGTCTCCAGGTATTGTTGTACAAAACTCTATATTAAGCAGTTTTCACAACTCTCGACACAAATGAGAAAGACCGAATTCATTTCGCCACAACGAATGCTGCCATCAGAGGTCTGCTTTTAAACACACATCTCGTAGGCCATCCATTAACTCTGATCACGTTAGTCCTTGAACAAGGTTTAACGCGGTCGCCGGCATGAAGCACCCGGAAGGTCCATACGCATTCTCCTCTGCATCGTTCTTCAAACATTTCAACACGTTCATACACAAGTTCAGACTTGTCAAATTCGCTAAGGGTCCTGTTGCTGTACATTCGTCCGCTTTCTTCCTCTACGCTGGTAATGTGCTGGCGGGTTGGGTGCGTCGACACGGTCAAGAGCGCCATGATTTCACAAGTCGCCACTTTTTCGCGTAACTGAACGCGCTCCGCCGAAGTGGACACGTCCACGTAGTGTAGACCGCGAGAATCGCGCTTCAGGTTTCACACAATAGCAATGCTAGTAAGATTTAACTGAATGCGGAACATTAACTCGAAGGCGTTATGTTGAAAGGTCTTCATAAATTGTTGATTGTTTTTACGTGCTTTGATAATAAGATTATTCACTACTATACTGCTACATGTTTTGATCTTTCGATGTCGAATCTACGTCGAATGACAAACAGCGTAAGTGCGAAAACTGTATCTTTTTTCCGGTGACATATAAAAGTGGCCGTACCTAAAAAAATTTTCTTGCAGTGGAAGAATGTCCTGTAGCGGTTGAGCTCACTCTCCAAGGTTTATGCAGTTAGGCAATAGAAAATACTTAACATGGCTTGACTGCGTGAAAACATCGTAGCGTGAAGATCAAACAAACTTAAGTGGACAAACCAGCAGCGGTCATTCTGTCTCTTTTCTGAAGCACAAATAAGGAAGACAGTAACGAATTTCACGTGAACTATGCTAACGACTGCTTTATTTGGGCTATACAGATCATGAGAAAAAGCTGATTGCCAATACAGATCATGAGAAAAAGCTGATTGCCATCAAGGGTTCAAGCCCTGTTGTGGCGGTGTTGTCCGGTATCATGTTGCCTTACGTGCGTTCGCGTGTGTGTGTGTGTGTGTGCGTGTGTGTGTGAGCGACGTTACAAAATTTCGGAATTTCGGGAAACAGACGTGGAACCCCCCAATCTAATTTTCCTGGTAACGACAGTGGCAATTGTGTGTTTATGCAGTACGTTGGCCTCATTAGGATAAAAATATTCGCCGTGTGCCAACGTTCATGTAGAAGAGCGTTAACAACAGCAGCCGTACTCTTCCGTAGCTTAAGAGGCCCGTTCAAAAGCTTCTTATAAATGTTGGCGACGCCTGCTCTCGACTGCGACGCAGCCGACGCTCATTATAGCCAGTCCGCGGTGAGAGCTGAGCCATGCACTGTATTATCCGACAGGCTGAGGGCCAGCATAATATTAGCGCGTGCCTCAAGTCTTCTTGGAAAAGTTCCCGCCTGCATATTACGGCCGGGCTACGACCAAAGGCACGAGTGCGAAGGTCTTATCTGTCATCTTTTCTTTTTTCACTCCGTCCTCTTTTGAGCGCCCGTCTCTTCGCGTAAGCTTCAGGTAGCAAACCGTAATCTCGTGTATAAGCAAGAACCTTGCCATTGTGCACTTTATTTCCTTTTATCTCTCTGCTTCTTTCATAAAGCAACATACAATGTGAGTTCAAGCAAATGAGCTTGCTTGCACATGGTCAACGACAGTCACCATTAGCATCACAATCCGAATAGTTGTTTAGGATGATTATCATCGAAACGCTGCTTATATGAACACTTCCAGTAGTCTTGTATGCTTTTTTTGCGTCAAATAAAATTTGAAGCCCTCAAGAGCCTAGAAAAGTGTGTTAGTAAGCCTGCGGCTGTCTTGAAAAGTTAGTTTTTTTAGTTTTTTTAAAGTTTTTTTTTTCAGACACTAGTTCTGCTTCTGACTGACCAGACTTCCCTACATGATATAAGCTTCTAGTTACATTCTCGCGCGTAGTGTCGTGATGGTTTCATGACTGCCCCGCCCTGTAGCCCCGTCGGTGGCGCACAAGCTGCTAGTTTGTATGTTTTGGAAACTAGCCACAACGGTGCGTGAAGTGACGCCAGTGTCAGGTTAAAGTATAAATTTGGACGCGTTATTCACTTGAACGCTGACTTTCAAAATAAAGTATTTTATCAGCGTTCTTCTGAACTTTACTTTTGGTCATAACACTCTCCGTACACAGTACGTTTGTGCAACGGTGTAAAATTACCCGTAAAAATTGTGAGCACATCCGCGCCCCCACCCCCGGGGGGGGGGGGCGAAAGAGGGGGGCGCAACGCCAGCTCGGTAAATTGACATAACGTGGAGGGGGTGAGGGTGCTGTGACACGGGGAGCGCAATATCACCTCCATACGTTGCCGTCTAGTAGGGAGGGGCTGCGACTAATCTTTGATCGCCCCCCCCCCCCTTGAAGGGTAACCCTGCGCGTGCCTATGGTGGTTAGTGTCCCTTAAGTGCAAAGCAACGTCATGCGCTCAACGCCTCATATGCATCACGGAAGTGTTCGGTGCGTTCTTCATGCTTACCTCAGCCGTTCGTCCAGGACTGCCTGAGGATGCGAGCCCATAGCTACGGTGCAACAAAGGTGCCAGGCGGCTATTGCAGTATGTCGGGAAACACACTCGTTGTACTCCTCGCTCCACAGGGGTCCCGCATCGGCGCATGGATGAAATATCTTTTGCCACGCCTTGGCGCCGATGCTCTTCATGGCTTCCGTGCTCAATATCCGGTCGACGAACATCTTCGTACCTGAATGCCACGCAGGAGGCCACAATAAGGTTGCTTGACACTGTTCACACCGGCTATGTGCTGAGCATAATGAACGTTTTTAGCTCTTTGGAAGAACTTATTCTTGAACCGGGTTGCCTTAACTAAAAAAGAAATTTTCTGCTAATAAAGGAGAGTGGCGATGCAGGAAGAAAAAAAAAACACGATACGGCTAAACTGTGTTATAGCATTCATGGTCTTCTGTGTTTCGTATATTTATTGGTAATGGTCGCAGGTGGAATTGTAACCAAATAGCAACAAAATGAATGATTATATAAGGTATTAAGGGAAGAAAGGAGAAGAAGAAATGAAAATTCAAGGGCTTGTTTTTTTCGTTACACACTAATAATGAGAACTAACATGCAGTGACGCCAAGAAAAAAGAATGTGGGGTGTTATTCATAGTAACTCTCTTGTAAATGTGAAGAAAGCGGAGTCATCCGCTAGCTAGGAATGAACCTGCGACCTTCGCCGGCGATGTGCTGAGCAAGCTTACACCTCCTTGAGGAAGAGCCTGCCAGTGGCAAGCTATCTTAACGTGGCCTTTTCCTTTCTTCATATTAACATTACAATTACTATGGATAACATTCCCCATTTATCAAAGTTAAAGCAATTCATTATTTTTCAAACTAGAAAAAGCGACCATTGGAGTCAACGCGAGTGATGCGAAAGATCATTATGGGATGGCTACACTCTATGACGCTACATAACGTGATGCCACAAGGTAACGTCATCACATGTCTATGTCACTTCTTCGAAAGTGGGATGATCGCGGAGTTACTGCGAAAACACGTAAGGAGCAGAGAGCTTGGAATGCCGCTGATCCCGGAGGCAGTGGCAAACTACGTTATGTGAAGTAAGGGCATTCAATTGACTAACAGAAATAAAATGGTTTACGCCTTCGAGTATTCTTGTGTGAATGCGTCATGGATAATACGACTATAGCCAGACAACCAAAAAGACGTAGTTCAGCACTTGCTCGGAATCCTGGAACGCAAACGGCTGAAAACGGCGCCCCCACGGGTTCGACGCGAGTATCTATAGGTTGCTGCTTCGGGACGTCCGAGCACGCTAGTGCCTCGCTTTAATTTCCTTACCCATTTCCCCTTTATGCAAGATCGTCAATTGAATTTTTCACTTACTCAACTCGGGAAACGCATCGCATAGATTTCCTGCGTCTTTTAAGAATTTACAGCGCATAAGAACACGGACAAAAAAAGAACAATGACGGCGGATAAAGCGCTTCTCTTGACCCATTTGTAAGCAATAGCACACCCCAGCTTGTATGTATTCATTCACGAAAACTGACCTTCACACGTTTAAGTGCATTTATATTCCTTTTAAAGTGGACGGAGGGATGATCTCTAATTTCGCTCAGTGGTGGAGCATCGGACGCGTTATCCAAAGGTCGCACGTTCGGATCTTGCCAGTGGCCAGTAATCTTTTCGTCCACTTTTCTTTCTCCACATTTACACTACATTTCCGTGTAATGACACCACCTACACTTTCCCTGGCAGTATTTGCCTGAGCTCTTACCAATATTGTGCCTAACAAAAAAAAATGAGCCCTTAAATTTACACTTTCCTTCATAACGAAAGCGACACATACCTTGAGCGAGTGCCTTCGCATCGTAAGGGTGCTCGAACAAGTTCGGATCGATATTCGGGTGCTCGTATGGGTTCTTGGAGCGCAGCGAAATGGAGCCCCGTGACCTCGGTCGGTTGAGAATCATGGCTGCTCGAAACCCGGGCCGATCGTCAATGGGCCCAATTAAATCGTCAAAAGCCTGCAATCGAACGGCTTCATTGATGTTTGTGACAGCAAGAATAAACTTCACTCTTTAAAATGTCACTGTCACCGGATGCACTTGTTAATGTTTGGCAGTTGAACAACATTGCGTAAGCATCGCTCCAGAGCTACATTAATCCGTTCACACTTTAAACATTTGTTGAGGGGACGGTAACCGTAAGATAGGAGACTGAATCGAGTGAAATATAACAGAACATGTCTTTGAAAAAGCGAATGCCGCTCCTGCGTGAGCTGCGAGAAGGAAACGCCAACAATTCAAGGAGGTCTGAGATGCAGAAAGCAAGGAGCTGGTAGATTGCTGAATAAATAAACAACGTATTCGGTTCTCTCTCGACTTGAAGAATTCGGTAGGAGTGGTGTTGGATTGAAAAAACAAAGTTCGTGTGTAGCCGAATATGTTGTATAAATTATATACATATATATATATATATATATATATATATATATATATATATATATATATATATATATATATATAATGTATTCGGCTACACGCGAACTTTTTCTGTCCAACGTTTTTTCTGTCCAACGCCTCTCACTCCTACTGAATCGAAATCTTCAAGTGGAATGAGAACAATTTTTGTGACTTTTCAGACTTTGAAGACGGTGGACTAGGCGCACTGAGACAGTGGCCATACCATATTTATACGCAGCGCAAAATATTTTTTTTGTTCCACAAACTTTTCCTGTTCTGAACATTACCTCGGGCAACAATCCTAGCTCCACGGCGAGCGCCTTGGTCAACTGGCTGGCCGGCGACATGGCCATGGTCGCCACCTCGACATCCGGGACATTTGGATCCTCGGCGTACTCGGTGGGCAGGAAGTGCACAAACTCGTTGCCCACAGGTATCGATATCGTGCCTGCGTGGAACAGATTGTGGTGCTGGCAACAAGATTCACGATGGTTATTGGGGTTTAGTCTCTCACAACCCTGGTTTTATTATAAGGGCGTCGTAGTGGAGGGCCCCGGAAATTTCTACAAGCGACATGGTTTTTTTTTTCATGTACATAATGTAAGTACACGGGGCTCAAGCATTTTTTTACTTTCACCGAAAATCCGGCCATCGTTGCCGGGGATTCCATTCTACAACCTTCAGATCAGCAGCATAAAAACATAACCACAAGGCCGGCGAGCGCTCTGTTAGCACGCACTGCTATAATTCTGTTATGATAGCTGAATATTGTAGTCATACTGGATGTCTTTCTGTGTTCTTAATGCGACAGCAATCATATGTACACTCTCGGCTAGTTGTCGCCGCTGGCGTCGGCGTCGCCGTCATTCACCGTATATGTATAAACACCTATATATATGAAAACGCAAGAAAGAAAAAAAAATAATCTAGGAAATGAATCTGGCGCGCGTAATCGAAAGTCTGATCACTCGTTTGTGAGCGTGAGGCGTTAGGCAGTGAAACCACGAGGGAGCACTTCCTTCACCATTGAAACAGCGAGCTATTCATATGTACCGCTTACAGCTGACGCTGCCGATTTCGGAGAAGATCGAGTGTTTTCAGCATCACCAGTGAGATAGCGCGAACAGCGCGCTCGGCGCCAAGTTTGTCGCGATGCGCCGACGCGCGCTTATCTCCCACGTGCACTTTGCGCTGCGGAGGGGACTGGGGGGGGGGGGGGGTAGATGATTGTGTGCGCGCGCTTGTCCTTCGGTGGGGGAGAATCGTGAGCCTTCGGTCACTTCGCTCGCTGCACAGAACCCGTTTGCGAGAAGAACATGCCTTTCATACACAGTGAAGTAACAACTGGGACACTTGTTAGTTTGCACTCATCTGTACCTGTGATTACGTAACGTGCGTCGTTTTTTTTTTGAACAGCGCGTTAAGTGTCGAGCTGTAAACGTTGTTAGTTCGCTCTCATCCCGTGTGTGGTGTTTTCGTGCGTCATTTGTGCGTGAGCAGTGCTCTGCACGTTTTTATCTGCATGCCGTTCTCAGAGTTACATTCGAAGTTGATGTTAACGCATTTATTGCTCGGCCCTTGCGGCGAAACTGGAATTTTTTTATTATTGATTGATGTAATTGGTCAAACACATTCTATATATAACGAAAGTAAACTTGGTGTTTAGGCAATAAGATATAACTTATTTGCGTCATCGATCATTGTAAAGAGGGCTTCCTATTGTGTAAGTGAAGTTTTATATCTAAAAATTTCCGGGCCTTGGTCACAATAGAATGGAGAATGAAAGTTGGTTATTGAACGTCTCTGTTTATATCTTCTTTTAAATGCGAAGCATTAGCGAACTTCGGCGACTTCTAAAGGCCGCCTACGACTTTTAGCTCTCTTGGCCGTTTCGATAATGGCATCACTACCAAACTTGGTATGGCATAACATGTCTGTATGAAGAACATATTTGATTAGTCATAACATGAAAATCGTGACACGCATGTCATCAATGTCATGATGTACATTTCATGGTCCTGCAGCACTTGCGGTGGTTTCGTTCACACGGCATGTTGCAAAACTGATGCGGTATGACATGATTGCATGGCGAACACAAGCGACTGACCCTAACATGAAAATCATGAGATGCGTGTTATGTAAAAACATGATTGCATACCCCGCTCATGATGCGCCGGCTGCGGTTTCGCTAGCTACACTTGTACCAAATTTGGTATTACGGGACGTGAATGGATGACGAAGGTATGATGCTGGTGCAAATATGATAAATATCAGATGCGTGTCATGTGAAACATGACCGCATGCTACGCTCATAGCGTGCTCACAGCCGTTTCGCTAAATCCACATATGCAAAATTTGGTATCAGGTGACGTGAATAGACGGCGAAGGTAAACGACACGTCCAAATATGATAATCGTGATATGCATGTCATGTAAAACATGACTACCTGCTACGCTCATAGCGTGTTCGCAGCCGTTTCGCTAGCTTCATATACACAAAATTTGGTATCACGTGACGTGAATGGATGATGAAGGCAAATGTCGTCCAAACATGATAATATTGATACGCATGTCATGTAAAACATGACTACATGCTACGCTCATAGCGCGTTCGCGGTCGTTTCGGTAGCTTCACATACACCAAATTTGGTATCGCATGACGTGAATAGACGACGAAGGTAAATGACGCGTCCAAACATGCTAGAATGAAATGCGCGTGGTTCAAAACATGACTTTATGCTACGCTCAGCGTGCTTATGGCCGTTTCGCTTGCTCCATGCCACGTGATACTAAATTTGGTGTCACTTGACGTGAACAGAGGACGATGGTAAATGACACATGCAAACATGATAATCATTGCATGGAAGTCATGTGCAGCATGATTTACGTCCAACTCGTAAGGTTGTGCTGACTTTAAAGTGACATATCAACCTTCCTCTTTCGTGCTTTGCATAACATCAATTCCCTCAGTACGTGGGATCTGCCATTTTTTTAACACGGTAGTGTTTTATGCCGGCGTCCACCATGGCTCCGCTGACGTATTTACGTCACGGATATGACGCTGTAAAATTTAACAGATTGCGTAGAAAAAAAAGACTTGAAGGAAACGACCTGTCGTGGAGCGTCGAACCAGTGACTTCTTCAACCACAGCACGCGGCGCTAACCTCAACGTCACGGAGCGTGTCTTCAAGGTTGCTAGCGGCAAGCCATTTGTATACACCATGTACCGTCTTTTAATCTTCAGAGCTTCGTATTTTCAGTGCATTTTTTTTGTCGTCGGTAGGGCGCGAAGGTCTCGCATTGGGCGCTCTCTCAAGATCGTCGCCTCTGGCGCTTCGATCAGTGCCCTTTCCACAGAGTGTGGTCCCTCCTGTGTCCACACTTATCAGACATAATTAAGGAGAGTACGAAGGTCACTTGATCGCTACCGCGTCTACGAAAGGAGCGCGCTGCTCACACAAGATGAAGTAAGAATTGTGACAGTTGCTCGTGCTTGTCCTGTGTATACTTGGGCGTTTGTTTCGCGAGTCTTCCTTTCTGTTTGAATAGCGCTGCTTTATGTGTCGAGCGGAGGCAGTTGCTAGTCCGCACACGTCTTGTGTATGGTAATTTTGTGCGTGCTTTCTACTTAAGGTGTGCGCTGCAAATTTGGAGCTGGTTGTCGTTCTTCGCGTGATATTGCAACATGTTGCTCTAGCATACATTTCGTCGCCCTTGTGGTAAAACGATGCACAAAAAACGCTCAACTACTTCTGCGAAGGCACGCTTCACTTTCGTGTTATTTCGATTCCTGGAAGAGGGATCAACCACATTTCTGTTTTTTTTATCTTGAACTCTGGAGGTAGCACCGCTTGGTTAATGCTAGAGGCGAGTCTGTTCAGATGTAGTTGCACGCTAAGACAACACCAGATGGTCAAAATTGCCGTAGCCCATGCACCAAGAAGTTTATCATAGCGACATTGTGGTTTCGTGACGTAAGACCCAAGCAAATGTCATTAGCACCACTTAGGAGGCAATCATATCCGCTGAATTATGTTTTTGCACAGTTCTATAAACCACATTACGTGAGGACTTCGCGCGTAGGTAGCATCGTATTTTGCAGATTTTCGTAAAACTCGTGTCGGTTTGAAGTACCCTGTACTAAATATGGAAAGCTTCTAATATTATGCGTCTACTTCAATACCAACACTATAAAGTTAGCCTGTCCTTAAGGTAATACATTACAACGAGTAAACTATTAAGTCCACTTAGAACATACTGGTTCTCCAGATTATGACGTGGCCCAGGGCGATTAAGCAGCTGCTTTAGCGTATCTAGCTCATTCAATGCCGTCATGAAATTCCAATTTCATTACATTCCTTTGATTCTCAGAATCGTGAAAGGCGCACAGTGGCACAACGATCAAGAAATGACTTTGTACATGAAATGCGAGTTTTATGTAGTAGTAATGGCAGTATCAAGTTTAAGTTCGTTCACATAGTTCCATTTGAAAACTTTGTAAGAGGACGTCGGATACGAGAGCAATGATTGATTGATTGATTTATATGTGGGGTTTAACGTCCCAAAACCACTATATGATTATGAGAGACGCCGTAGTGGAGGGCTCCGGAAATTTAGACCACCTGGGGTTCTTTAACGTGCACCCAAATATGAGCACACGGGCCTACAACATTTCCGCCTCCATCGGAAATGCAGCCGCCGCAGCCGGGATTTGAACCCGCGCCCTGCGGGTCATGAGAGCAATGAGACTTTCAGGCACACTGTACAGGAGAAATAGCTGTACAGGGGCGTCAAAGTATCTGCTTCAAGAATTTATAAATTTAAAGAACGGAGTAAACCTGACGCATACCTGACGGCATTTTGGCAAGTAGAAACGCTGAGCTGTTAATTGTCAAAACTGTGTCTATGTGTACTTGCAACGCAGTTACAGTCACATGTGTTCTTCTATTCAGCGCATATTAAATACGAGCATCTTTAAATACGCCTCATACTTTCATCTTCGTCTCCTTACCTGTCCCGTTGCTGGCGTACTGCTGTATGTCGGCGAGACTAAAAGGTGGTATGCCCACTTCCACGTCGGTGCTAACGGGAACTCCCATGAGGATCGCCGGATGGTCTTGAAGGTTGCGGCCCACTGGCAGATCGGCAACCACCGGTATCTGCGCATAGTCGAGATGTCGTGTAGGTAGTGTAACTTATTGATAAGACGCAGTAAGTGCTTCCAGCTATTGTGCAACGGATTAATGACGAAGACGATCACGACAGAAGTAACAGAGATATAAAAGCACGCACCACCTCGGTTCTACGCCGAAGAAATATGGTTCGTTGCTCCTTGTTTAGTCCGACTAACTTTAGCACAGTCAACTCTTAATTACACCAGGAACCAAAAAGCGTACGCGTGCGTCTACTATAGTGAAATGTCACATGGTGTTCGGTGGTTGGTGGTGGAAGGTAGTCCCTGCGTTTAAATTGGCATCTACGAATTACTTGGATCAGCGGCCTATTCATCTGGTGAGGTGCTGCGTGATTTGAGCTGCCACTCGGCATGCGGGATCGTGGAGAACAAAGGTATAACCATACCATTCAAGCTGTTTCCACTTGGGGTGTGTGGGTTCATGCTGTCGCGATTTACCTCGTGCTCTCAGCATACGGTTCGCTCGGATTGTGACGGAAAATTTTTGTGTTCAGATTTTTTAAGGAAGCAGTTATGAATGGTGGGGGCGTAAATTCGCCTCATCTGTCTCCACAGTTCCTTTCTTAATGAAACGCAGGAACTATGATGTGTGAGAAAAGGTGGTGCGTGTCACCTACTTTAGACTACATGAAATGTATGAACATGTCAGGACAAATCGCAGTACAAGTTTATCTGTTTAGAGTCTCAATTATTAGTGAAAAGTGTCCCAGCTGCAAATTTGAATTCGAGCCGAGTGATCGTCTCGTGCTCCTCTAACAGTATCACCGGCGCCAATATCGAGTAACTAGCTGAGGAAGAGTATTTCAGTGAGCGCTTATAAGCTGACCTTTCGCCGTGTCATCGAAGGGATCTGCGCGTGTAGTAGCTCATGAATACGTCGCGAACTATCAAAATGTAGCGACGTACGGTTCACGCATACCTGTAGCCGTTCCAGGTCATCTCTGGGCCCAACTCCGGAAAGCAGCAAGAGCTGTGCAGATCCCACGGTTCCCGCGGAGAGGATCACTTCTCGCCTCGCATTCACCTTGGCCGGCCGACCAAGTCTGGTGAAGGTCACACCCACTGCACGCTTACCGTCGAAGTTTACCTGCAGTCCGAAATAGACAGCAGTGAAACGGCTGATAGAGTGCGTGAGTATACCTGATGCGTTAATGAAGATGTCTGAGGAAGGGTTGTGAGAATGCTATACATCGTGCTGAGAAGAACTAGCAACTTGGTCATTAGGCGACTTATTTTAGTTGCGAAACAGCAGAAATGTATCGAAAATTTTTACGTCGAAATGTTAATCGACAAAGTGCGTGACAACGCTGTGATCGATTAGCAATGCGTTTAATTCGACAAAAAATGTGGCAATTCCGTTGCTTACCTTGATGACGTGGCTGAGTAGCGCCACGTGCAGGTTCTTCCGTTCACGGATGACCGGCTGAATGAATGCTTTGCTGGCGCTGAAGCGCTTGCCGTTCGCCACGTTCGCCTGTAGTCGGGAGCAACCTACAGAGTTGAGTGGAATGAAGTGGAGTGGACAGCTGCAAGTTTGCTAAAGGTCTCTTGAGAACAGCTCTAGGATATCGAATTTTCCACAAATGAGAAAAACCTACGCAATATACCTTTATATAACTTGTATTCAGCAATCCTGTATGATTTCAGGAGAGCAAGTGGTCGTTGCAGCGTGGAATGGCGAGACAATGCAGAAAGCGTTACGCGCACGTTTCACGCAGGCAAAATTTATACATGGCACGCTGTAATTTGCAATGCGGATATTAGAGACATGCAACCGTTTGAGTTGATTGACAGCCTAGAGATCTGTATAAAAGAACCTATATACGTATATACTGGTTTATTACAACAGGACGTCAATGCGAAGAGGCAGGCGAAGGTGTTTTTTTTTCTTCTCCTCTATTACTGTGACATAATTGCGAATACGGGATCGAGATAACGCCATAGACTGCCAAGTCCAAGTATTGCAACACACGCTTCACCTGACTGGGTAGGACCGTTGAAATCCACGTGAGCGTAGCCGGCTTGCTGACACGCCTCCATAAGAATGTGAGCGAGAGGCGTGGTGGTGTTGGCGTAGTCCACCGGTATCTCTCCTCCAACTCCATGGCACTCTTCCAGCGTGTGCGTGCATGGAAACGAGGAGACAGAGGCACGCGATGTGGCACAGAACGACACAACCTGTGCAGGCAGTAGGCGGCGTTGAGGTTTAACTATTGCATATACGGTCGTTGCCACGCATAAATATACCAGTCCCGAAGAGTGGTGAAACGCGTCGTTTCGTGCGGCCGCTGGATTTTGGAACACGGTTACCACCGGGAATTTTTTAAATGCAAATCATTCATTAGCAAACTGCAGGCACATCGAGCGTTTGTACCTACCTACTTCGGTGTGCTCTCGTGATCACCTGCTTAATTTGCAGTAGGCCAAAATTGGTATGCGAAGGTAATGTACAACGGGCCGTGGTGTGCGGGTATGCGCCACATATGACGGACAGTTTATACCTACCAAATGACAGTGAGAACAGAAATCGGTAATTTAAATGCGAAGGCGCAATTGACATCGATAGCGTTGAACCCACGAATTCAAAGAATAAAAAATGGGGATCCCAGCCGCAATCGCACCCAAGCATTCTGCTATGCAATCAAGCAATGTACCACACAACTACCGCCAGGTCCCACAACTGCTCATGAAGACGACCCTAGGCAAACCTAATGTTGCTAAAAGGTCAATTGTGGTGGCAGTGCTGCCTATTTAATTATGTAAGCAATACGTAAGAACTCCTATGATGCGGGCGTCATGGTGGGTTAACTTCAATTACATTGATTGATATGTGGAATTTAACGTCCCAAAACCACCATATGATTATGAGAGACGCCGTAGTGGAGGGCTCCGGAAATTTTGACCACCTGGGGTTCTTTAACGTGCACCCAAATCTGAGCACACGGGCCTACAACATTTCCGCCTCCATCGGAAATGCAGCCGCCACAGCCGGGATGTGATCCCGCGACCGGCGGGTCAGCAGCCGAGTACCTTAGCCAATAGACCACTGTGGCGGGGCTAACTTCAATTACAGTTAAGCGTCATCGACTAAAGCTCGTCTATGCAGCACTATCCATGGCTACATTCGCCATGTTGGCCTAGTAGTTATAGTGCTCGAATGCTGACCGAAAAGAACGCGGGATCGAATTCCGGCCGCATTTTCGGTGGAGACGAAATAGCCCGAGGCCCGCGCACTCGCATTTAGGTGCACGTTAAACAAGCACAGGTGGCCGAATTTTTCGGAGCCTTTCACTACGGCGTCTCTCGTAGCCACATCGTACTTTTGAGACGTTAAATCTCGGATTTCAGACAGATTTAGTTGGGCATCCGCAGCAGCTCTATACGGATGCAGTGTCCCAGCCATTTCGTATGGCTCCCTGCGTACGCAGAGCTGTTTGCAGAGTTCAACTAAATCTGTCTATCGATAAGACGCAGGGCTACCACCCTAATAAACACAAACGCTACATCTCACCACGTTTGGTGTTGGTAATACCCATATGTGAGCATCGGTACGCAACTGTAAGTAACTAGTTTTATAAAACTTATGCGACGGTTCAACAGAAAGAAGCTTAGACAGACATGCAGGGACAAACATCTGTGCTTGCTTTGTCTAAGCTTCTTTCTTCGTGTATCGTCTCACCGCGCAGTTCGAATACAACGAACGTTTACCAGCTCGCCCGACTTCGCACTCTACTCGTCCAACATATGTCTGTGCGTACAACGTGGGCACACATTTTTAGAATAACTTCGTAACGTTTCCTTCAATACAATATTACACCACACTCTCCTTCCCTACGCGCACGTGGAATCTGGCGAGTATTTATTTAAAAAATAAGAAAGCGTAGACCTAATGTTTCTTTAAGGTACTCACCGTCCACTGGGCCGACGCGGTAGTCCTCGATGTCCTTGAAATGGGGCAGCACGTCTTCGTATGACCACCCTTCGGCTCCGTACTGTTTGGCCCAGCGGTCGTAGTCCCCCGGGTTTCCTCTCGTGTACATCATGAAGTTTAGCACGCTGCTTCCTCCGAGCACCTTGCCGCGGTTATGCGCCAACCTCTGCGTGCGTATCAACAAAATAAGAAAAAATGGTACAGAAAGCTCACTTCATGACCAGTGCATTATGAAGAATGCTGACTGGTTAGTTTTTTTTTAGGGTCGTGCTGTGCTCTTGTAACGATTAAACGCCGCAAGCTGGCAGGTTAAACGCAGAAGAGAAATGTGTGTGAGAAGATCGACATATTTAGGTGAGGTTATCCGGGACCCCTTCAGGTAGTTTCCCTTGAATGCAAAAGTGCAGCCGTGGGCACGTCTGTTTTCGCTCAGCAAAGCGAAACCTTGAGGCAGTATCGGGCTCTAGCCTTACAACTAGGCCGTGCATGCTTTTGAGACACCACTTCAGAGCCCGAAGCTGCCTCAAGGTTAGGCCCCGCAGAGCAAAAACCGGCTGCTCGCATGCTCTACACGGGGTGGCCGCGGCTATACGTTGGCTGCGCCGAGGTAAATTACCTAAATCATGCAAACAAAATAGCATGCACCGATTATTCCCCGGCTATTTGCACGCTGATAGAAATAGGCGGCTTTCAAAGAGTCTACAAGTTTCACAGCCTGCAAGAATGAATTATTCCCATTCAGCTTACAAGTTACTTGCTCAAAATACGTTCAGGAACCTGCCTGCGTCTGGTCCCCAACGTATTTCGTTCTGTGAAGTAATGTTCAGTTCTCACTTTTCATTTTCTGACTTGTTTACTTTTACGCACTAATTCAGGTCCATATAGAATTATCTAAATGATGCGCAGTGTGGGATCACTTAAATTACGGTGGTCAAGAGTATCATTCGAACCCGTATTATACAATGTTATTTATACATACACGCCATAGCCTTAATACAATGCTTTTGTTTTTTTTTTCCTCTGGAGTTTCAAAGTTTTGTGTTCACGGTATGGGGAACCAGCCCGGAAGTTTCCGCGGTCGCCCTAATGGTCAAATCGCGCATATCTCAGCCGCTGCCGCTGACGTAATCCGTGTTGCACAGTTTTTCTCTGTTTTCCAGCGCTTTCCTTTTACAGTGGCTTAAGATGAAGTGATATGAAGAGATAATAAAATGAACCACAGGGCAGTATTACGGGCGCAAGGGCCACTCGATCTGTTCCTGTCAAAACGGAGCTAGTGTGCCGACACTGCGGCTGGTCGTCTGCGCGAGCTGCTCAGTTATGTCGTCACTCCCCGCCAGGGGCCTTTTGTTTTGGCGCGCTTTACCCATAAGCGAGAACGGTCTGCCAGTCGCGCTGACGATAGACGTGAACGAACGTGAACGCGGTAGCCTTACGATCGTCAGCTAAGAAACTTACGCTTTTGTCTGTATACGGACGTGCACTTGCCTGGTTCCGGAAGGAGAAGGCAGCGTGCTTCTGCGGCACGCTCCAGTAGTCCCAGTCGTCACGACCTCGAATGTTGAACGGAGCCACGGCCGGGATTTGTCGAGATGCTTCCTCGAGTGCCCCGGCTTCCAGTAGGAGCACGGTGACGCGGGGATCCGCAGACAACCTGTTGGCTATCACGCATCCTGCCGAACCACCGCCGACTGCGTGAAAAAGACGGGCGCGTTCGAATGCGAATGAACGGGTCGGGAGGACTGGCGCAGCCCGTATTTCAAAACTGACATTAAAATTGCTGCAGAAGCAATTAAATATGTTGCAACGTATTTAACGTCCGAATCAGAACCTTCACTGGCGCTCTGTGCGTCTAATTCTTAATATTGTCATGCGTTCTTTCTTTTTTCCCCTTTCTTTCACTTGCATTGAATGTTCACTCCTGTCTGTTTCCTTCTTTCTGTACGAGATCGGGACCAAAAACCACGTGATTGAGACACCCAATTCGGGATCATAATGTGTGTTATGTGTGTTAATTGTCGTGCATTCACAAATAAGCTGGCGAAACTTTGCCGCGTTTGGTGGGGCGCTTACTTTCTCATCGAAATATTTTTTATAATCATGCGAGCGACCTGGGAGTCGGATAACACAGGCGCACTCGCGAGCCGTGCACTGATATGCATGCGACCTGCGATACCTGATGCTCAGGACTCGGCTACCTCAGGGCAAAGCGTAAGGGGCGCGACAAATGATAACAGCGCGTGCCACCGTCTCAAAGGTTCTCGGTTTTCGCAGATCTGGCGAGCAGCCAAGCTGGGAATCTGTGGAAGCTGCGAAGTGGTCGCGGCTCGAGCACCGGCGGAAATCAACAGCTCGAGCAAACGCGTGTGACGAGGCGGCTGTGCGAGTTGCACGATGGTGCACTTAACTTCTGAGAGATCATTTTTCTCTCTTTTTCCTTTCTCCTTCCGAACCCTTTTAAAATTCTTCTAAGCCTAACGTACACTTAGCCTTTTCTCTTTGCCCGACATGCCCTTGCCCGTCAATCTCCCGCTTCAAAGCGATGAGGCAGCAGACATCATCATTACCATTGTGACGTAACAAGCAGCTAGCTGCGCGAGCGTCTGCAATGCGTTCTGGTGACTAATATTGTTCCGTTGTCAGCTGCTTGGAAAAATTTAGGCATTTAAGCTGTCTTCTCATTGGCTCTGAAATTGAACGATCTGGATCTGGAACTAAGCTGGGAGACGACCGCTCCGCTGCTTGCTGCAAATGAAGGCATACGCGCCACGACAAAATGGCAGTCGCCGGCGGTGGCCGGGCGTGGTTTACAGCTGGTGGTTCCTAGGACCTGTTTTACACTGAAATATCCGTTTCCGGCCCGCTTACATCATTCTTTTAGGTACAATGGACCTTCTACTGGTATTTGTTTTCTAAAAAAAAAAAAACTAAAATTTGGGTGACCGTGCCATGGCCGTTTTACCAACTACGTTTTTGTTGCTGCAACCAATAGGGGCAATACGTTTGTATACAGGCAGCAATAAGTTACGACTACGAGAAATGACGAGCCACATCTATAAAGGATCGTAATTTTCGGATTAGAAACCTCTGATCCCCGAGATGGGCACGATACAGAGAGCACCAGTTGTTGAAAAAAGACACATACAAACACGCCATGTGACCGGCGCACCTTCGGAAGCCGCATTTTTTTCCCCTCTGGCGCTCGCGGACGCTGTGTCTTTTTGTTTTTGTTTTTTTGCAGTCGCACCTACAACGTTACCTACACTAAAACATCGCTTGGAAAATTCGTTTAACGAGCGGCATATGCTATGAAGCTATTCAATCTGAGCATTCATGCGCGGGTGACGTTTAGAGGTAGATGCAAACGAAATTTAACTATGTCTCAAGCCATGTTATGAATATGAAGGACGTCGTGGCGAAGGGATACAGCTATTTCAACCACCTGTGGTATTTAGGTTTACGGGCGTCTAGCATTTCTCCTCCCTTGCAGTGCAGCCGCCGTGACCGGGGTGCGAACCCGCGACCTGGGGATCAGCATTCCATAGCAGTAACACTTAGACTGCTGTAACCGATAGCAAATTAAAGTGTTCTACAATGTTTTTAATAATATTATCTGGGGTTTCACATCTCTAAACCACGATAGGATAACGAGAGGTGCCGTAGTAAAGAGTTCTAGCAATGTTGACCATCTGGTGTTCTTTAAACGTGCTCTGGCATCTCACAGTAGACGGGCTTCTAGCATTTCGCCTTAATTCAAATGAGACCGCCCCGTCCGGGATCAAACGTGCAACCTTCGGGTAAGCAGGCGAGCACCGTAATCACCGTTCCACCGAGGCGGACCAGTCATCTTTTACTTAAGTAATTAGCTTTACTGGAAATTCCGTGCAGGTTATTTACGGTCGTGCAGGCGTGCTGCTCTTTGCTTTCTAGCGGAGTTACAGCTCACATTCTACAGGAGAACTTCTGATGTCGTGAGCTGATAGTGACCTGTTTGGTTACCTATGCGAGGAGCGAAACTAGTATATAGCATGTGAGCGACAGTTTCCTTCCTTCAGAAACAAAATGGAAGATGGTTCGACTGCTTACTCAGTGAATGCAAGCCTCTCACGTGACCAACCAGTAGTAATGGATCAGCCCAGTCTCATACATATGCGCATCTCACTTGACTGTTATCGGTTGCCCTTGCGTCGTCAGCATTTGTAGCTCTTTTATTAAAGAACACTGCCCCTTCACATTTCTTGCGGGGCTGTCCATTGGAGGAAGCGCCGATAAGAAAAAAAATGCTACGCCCTCATTTTCCTATCACTTGACACAGCTGATAACAAGCTACTCGATAGTCCTAGAGTTTGCCGCACTTGACTTGAGAGTGGGGTGATAATTCTTTGATTGATATGTGGGGTTTAACGTCCCAAAACCACTATATGATTATGAGAGACGCCGTAGTGGAGGGCTCCGGAAATTTAGACCACCTGGGGTTCTTTAACGTGCACCCAAATCTGAGCACACGGGCCTACAACATTTCCGCCTCCATCGGAAATGCAGCCGCCGCAGCCGGGATTTGAACCCGCGCCCTGCGGGTCAGCAGCCGAGTACCTTAGCCACTAGACCACCGCGGCGGGGCGGGGTGATAATTCATACACCCGGGATATTGGCGCTTCGGATATAAACTTTTTGCCCCCTTTAATGCAGAGCCCAAACAGTTACCTGGCGACAGCTGCAAACAAACACTCTAATCCACAATTATATCACCGAATATACCCCGAGATTCATACCCCAACATCTGTAAGGTCTGCCAGACAGAAACAGAAATGCTAACATACATGCCCGGGAAATGCAAAGCTAAAGCGAAGCGTATTAGTCCCGATGTTCTTTCTGTGAAGTGGGAAGGCACTCTGCGAAGCTCCAAGCTGGCCGAAGGACTCTGGGCAGTCCAGCAGGCCCGCGAAGCGATGGAGAGGCAAGGCCTTGACGTCCTGACATAGGAGACCTGAGCCCGGGCTACGAATTAGCCGAACAAATAAGGTTTTCCTCCACCATCAGATGCTAGAACAGATGGCAGGAACTTAGAGCTCAGAAACTCTTTACGCTAATCGGGTGGGTGAACGCAAGCGGCGTGTTATGCTGGTGAAGGAGTACTTATCTCTCCTTTTTCGTTTTATTTTTCCTCTTTTTGGCATGTTTAATGGGGCTTACCACGCTAAGCTGTTTGAAGTAGCAAGCAGGACTCGCGGTCGCGCCGCCGCCCAATTCTGGTGGGTGTAGCTCAATATCTCCCGGGCAAACTTATTTTCATTGCTTTTTCCTCTGCCCACATTCTACCTTCTGAAGAGTAGCAATCCGGATATTTTTTTTTATTTTCCAGGTAACCTCAGTGCATTTTCACATTACATTTCTTCCCGTCCCATGCTATATTCAAGTGCTTCTTAAGAATCGTCAAGTAGTTGTTATGAACCCAGAGCACTAGTACAAGTCTCGAAACGTACGTGTCGCTTATGATTATAAAATCGCCCAGACATCGATTGATGGTTATGTGTGGTCTGACGTCCCAAAAATGTCCATATGATTATGCGAGACGCCGTTGTGGAGGGCTCCGGAAATTTCGACCACCTGGGGTTCTTTGACGTGCACCCAAATCTGAGCACATGGTCCTACACCATGGCCAACTCGATCGACCAACTGAGCAAGATCAGTCGGTGTATCTGGGAAGTAAACCCTCCACGTAAAATTACAGGACATAACACGTAACGGGCCGTATTTACTCGTGGACACTGTTTGCATTAGTATGTGTTGGTGCAGCTGTCGTGGTAACTTGGCAGGCTGAGGTCTCGCGCTTTGCGGGCTCGATGCCCGGCTATGGCGGCCGCATATTTATGAGAGTGAAATGCAGTAACAGCTGCTTGCTTACACTTATGTCCCCATGTAGCCAAATTCGGACAGGTTCCTGAATTTACACGTCGTAATCATATCGTGGCTTTGGAACATAACATCTCAATAATCGTCTTCAGGCTTTCTTGATTGCACACGCACACACACGCATATATACCGGGTGTTCAAAATTAAGCTTTATGATTTTTTTAAAATTAGGCGCTCGAAGGCACGTGAGAACCACTTGTGCAAATAAGTTAAGCGGCCAGGGGGACAGAAAGTTAGATGATAATTATCGCTGTCAGCAGCCCAATTAACTAAAATTTAATAATTAACTTTTTACTGGCTGCGGTAAGTTGGCATGTTTATATTGAAAAAATGTAGGCAGTGGTGTTTGTACACAGTTTCAGTTGGAAGATTTTTTCTAGCACGCCTGTGTTCCGAGATATCCGGCTCCAAAGTTTAATTGTCTTTCGCACGATTACGCATGCAAGAGGGTGAGGGTCCGCGCAAAGCTCCTCCCTAAAGTGACGCATCTGTTGCGTGTGGTGTTTAGTGTGTGAAGAGGGTGGAAGCGTAGGCATAGGTGATAGCAATTACCCTTGCCCTCTTCGGCCGGCGAAATCAAAAATCGAAGAACGCTTGCAACCAGTGTCGTAACACGCAACTGCAGAGCCTCTAACGATAGTGGCAGATACCATGCCGAGATAATGGTGCGAGCGGAGAATCTGGATGCCAGTGCGCGTGCGTAATAATCGCTAGAGAAGCATGCGTGGTCGTTGCCTGGGCTACGCGAATAGCGTGACTGCTGATGTCCGAGTACTGTAACTTTTATTGAAACAAGAGCAACAACTCCACCAATAATAACTGAAACAGTTTTATCCTTGCTAACGCATATTTCCTGCTGCTACATAAGCATATTTCGGTCATGCACAAATCTCATCGAAACTCTTCACCTCTCAAGACGTCAATGCCCCAAAAAGTGTTCAAAATGCCTGCCTTCGGCAGCAACGCAAAGCATGAACCGCTGTCGCGTCGACTCGATGACTCGGCGCAGTACTTCTGCAGGAATACTCGCACAGGCAGATGTTATCCTGTCCTTCATGTCATTAACATCGCTGGGCTCTGTTACGTAAACTCGATCTTTAACGTAGCCCCAAAGGAAAAAGTCGAGCGGAGAAAGGTCAGGTGATCTTGGTGGCCAAAACATCGCTCCTGCGCGCCCAATCCACTGTTGTGGAAAACGTCTGTCCAACCAGTTCTTCGCCCTGGTAGAAAAATGTGGTGGTGCTCCATCGTGCTGAAACCATACTTGGCGCAGGTCATTCAGGGAAAGACTGCAGACAAGATCATCAATGACAACACCTAATATTTCTTCTGTGTACATCTTTCCGTTCAAGTTGTCCTCAAAAAAGTGAGGTCCGATGATCCTGTCCCCGAGTATGCCGCACCACACATTCACACTCCAGCGAACTTGATGCTTGTGCTGCCTCAGCCAGTGTGGGTTTTCTTGTGCCCAATAATGGGCGTTGTGAAGATTAACACTTCCATTTCGGCAAAACCGAGCTTCATCAGTCCAAATTATTCTGTGCAAAAAGTCATTTTCTTGATCAGTTTTGATGAGGCCCCAATTGCAGAAGTCAACTCGCCTTTCAAAGTCCGCCTCATTTAGGTCCTGATGAAGGTAAACGTGATATGGATGGAACTTGTGCTTTCTTAAAACATTTGTGACTGTTCCGATGCTGCGACCGCACTGATCGGCAATCTGTCGGATGCTGAGCTCTGGCATCGAGGTTACGCACGCGACAACGTCGATTTCAAAGTCTTCATCGACGATTGCCTTCCTGGTCCGTCTCGGAAGGTGGACAGAGCCTGTTGTGCAGAAGCGTCGAAACAGGTTTGTGAAAGTGGGCCTTGTTGGAAGGGGACGGTGTGGGTGGCGAGACGCGTAAAGCTCCATTGCTAACGAAGCGTTGCCATTCATTTCAGCCATTGCAAGCACCACGTCTACTTTTACTTTGGTAGAATACCTCACGCCAGAAGCAGCCATATTAGCTCGAAAGGACTCCACGTGGATTTCCTTGGTAGACCTTCAATGCAGAGACGCTGTGCTCTAACCGGAGGCACCCTAGTGCAGGACGGTCCTGCTAACGCGTTCACAAGAAGATGTCTCAGTGTGATCTAAAGTCACGAAAAAACGTCGCGAAAAATGGTCTCCTGTTATCGCGTTCATCAGGATCATGCGTAAGGCTCATGGCGCACCGCGCTGTCACATTTTGATTTCGCCGGCCGAAGAGGGCAAGGGTAATTGCTATCACCTATGCCTACGCTTCCACCCTCTTCACACACTAAACACCACACGCAACAGATGCGTCACTTTAGGGAGGAGCTTTGCGCGGACCCTCACCCTCTTGCATGCGTGATCGTGCGAAAGACAATTAAACTTTGGAGCCGGATATCTCGGAACACAGGCGTGCTAGAAAAAATCTTCCAACTGAAACTGTGTACAAACACCACTGCCTACATTTTTTCAATATAAACATGCCAACTTACCGCAGCCAGTAAAAAGTTAATTATTAAATTTTAGTTAATTGGGCTGCTGACAGCGATAATTATCATCTAACTTTCTGTCCCCCTGGCCGCTTAACTTATTTGCACAAGTGGTTCTCACGTGCCTTCGAGCGCCTAATTTTAAAAAAATCATAAAGCTTAATTTTGAACACCCGGTATATCTGAAAACGCAAAATTGCAAAATAATCCAGAAAAAAACTCCGGTGCCTGGAATCGTACGTCTGACCTCTTGCTTGAAAGTGCGTGGCGTTAGCAAGTGAGCCACGAAGCAATAATTCCACCAACGTTGAAACGGAAAGCTATTTATATCTTCCACTTACCGCTGGCGATGCCTATCTGAAATATTATCGTGTTTTCAGCATTTCCAGCAAGATGGCGCAATGAGCGTGCGTCGCCAGATCGTCACGACGCGGTGACGCGCGCTCATGCGTTGATTACCCGCGCCTACTGTGACCCACGGAGGGTTGGGGAAGAGGGTGAGGTAGACGCTCATGCGTGTGCGGTGGGGAGTGCGGTTCAGTGTTCTACCGCTGAGGATGGGGCCCTTGCCACCCCTACCCTTGCTTCTGGACTGCTGCTTCTGTTGATGACGACCGTTCCACTGCTCAACTAATCTTTCCTCTTTCCACTTTTCTCCCTTTTCCCTTCCCCGCAGGCACTGCGCTGTGCTCCCGACCGGGTTGCAAAAATTAGGTGCCTTTTCTCATCTTCTAACCACTACCACCACCACCACCGGTTCAGTGTCAATTTTTATAAAAGAGAACACGGCGGTGCGTGGTCTGCGCACTCCGGCGGCTGCTGGCAGCGCGTTCAAGTGGGCGCGATAGCAACCACATTCTTTTCTCGCGTCATCTCGCGGCGAGCAAAACAAGATGTCAGTGCTTATGTGGAACCGCTGACAAGATTTCAAGCTCTCCCCTTTCAAGGCGATTACCGCCTCTCGCGTAATCGCCTTCAAGGGAGAGGAGGTTGTAATCATGCCGCTGGTTGCAGATCAGCAACGAATGGTTGTTTTGCTCGTCGCAAGAAGAAGCGAAGGAGGCTGTGGTTGCTCTCGCTCCCGCTTGAACGCGCTTCCAGCCGCCGCCGGAGCGCGCAGGCCACGTGCTCCCTTTCATAAAAATTGACACTGTACTATCGGCGTCAAATGAAACCCGAACAGCGGAGCGCGTGTTTGAAGCACTAGAAACTGTATAGGGTTGGCCGTCCAGTCATCACCGTTGACAGGCGTGCACATCCGGTGGTTTGGCATGCACTGCGCGATCCCCCTAGAGTGCGTTATCTCTCTTTCTGACCTAGTTTTCGTATGGTGATAATGGTGGCCATCTTGGGCGTGCCAAGCGCTTTTGATCGTATCACTCGCAATTCCTTGCTTTTACTTAAGCGTCGCAGTGTAATCAGTGGGGTGGCAAAATAAAACAAAAAGAGAAATATAATCGGTTTGCGGTTGATTTTCGAACGATCGTCGTATCTCGTTCGCCAGCGCTGCTTCACCTGAATCCTTTCAGAGACCAACCGGAAAAGGCTTCAGTTTCACTGGAAATGCCGAGCCTTTCTTCGGAAGAGAGAGCGCAAATTGTTTCGCTTTACCGGCCCGAAGTGAAGCAGCGGGAAATTAGAAGCATTGTGAACCGAGTTTTGTATACTATAAATAAAATTTGCCAGGCATTCTGTGATTATGGACTCCGTGATGACAAAGCGTGCTACAGTATTCGCCTTCGGCTGCAGTATTTGCAGCCGAAGGCGAATACTGTAGCCTGTGTATTAAAAAATACCTGTGTATTTTTTTATTTTGTTCTTTTGAAATACCATTACCATACTTGGAACACAAGCAGAAATACTGCACTATGGTGGGATTGCGCAGTGCTGCCACACCGATCGTGCGGGCCTGCCTGTGTCAATGACTGGTCGACGGCGCGCGCTATGCCATTGATAAGGCTTGTGCCAAGCGCTCCGCTGTTCGTATTTCATTTGATGCCGATAGTACATGAATCGTATGCCTTGGGCTTTCACCGGAACGATTTAGTTGTATTTACCGGGCGCACAAAGGTCGCTGCACTCGTTGCAGTTTCCGTTTGCGAAAAGGGCGCGATTTTCGGACACAGTGAAGTAACAACTGAGGCACACCCGTTTGTCTGTGCCTGTGTGTATGTGTCGTGCGTCATTTGTGCGTGAGAAACGCGGGGCACGTCTCGATCTGGTCGCCATTCTTCGCGTGACATTACGATTTGTTGCTATCGCGTTCATTGCTTCGCCTTTGCGGCAAAGCTGTGACTTTCTTTTGTTTGTCCTAATTATTACGTTTCGCAAGGTCTCGCGTGATGCTGAAGGTGGCAGCGCGACCCGCTCGTCGAGGAAACTCGGCTCGGAATTGAGCTTTACAGCTACTTTTACGAGCCGCTTAGTTTTATGTATTTTTTCGTCTCACCGACGCTTCTATTAATACCTTTGTAGACAGCTATTGACATCCATGTTTTTGTTTACGTGCGCTATAAGAGAGTCCTTCCTGTTCGAACGCATACTTAGCCTTCCAAGCACGCACTATCGTTCACTCGCCCTCCCTTACACGCACACTCATATACACGCACACACATATACTCGCTCATTCTCTCTTGTCACACACACGCACTCACTCACCGTATCTCAGAAAGATGCCCTCACTCAATCAAACACACTTGGACGCGCGGTACGCGACCAATCCGACTGCTTTGTGCAGGGCTTACCGATTACGTAGTCGTAGTACGGCCGCAGCTCTCCCAGCTCGTAGTCGTCGAGAACAGGAAGGTCCGTGAAGGGCACGTGCGTTAACATGTTGATCACGCCGTACAGCAGACCTAACGCGGGCTGGGCAGCGGGAACGCTGGTCCACGGTGCGTGCACCGTGACGTTCATGTCCATGTTCGCGCCTTGTCCGCGCCAAAAAAAGAAGACGGGAAAACACCCGTCCGACTGTATAAGTGGGCGTGTATTTTTACCGCTGGTGCGCTATCGCACTTCAGCGTGCATTATAGGACGAAGACTGACGGACCTTTCCTGTGGTGGTGTCGCTTTCATGGCCGCGGGGGAGAAGGAAAATGAGAGGAAATGTGAGGGCATTACGCGATACGGACGTCGCGTCGAGGGCAACGGCGTGTGCGGTCACGTCATTCGTTTGCGCAAGGGCTGTCCCCGAGAAAAGAAAAAAAACAAAACAAACTTGTTGGTTGCTTTAACCGCAGGCAACGCTCAGCGTGTAACTATAACATCCCACATACATGTACACCATAGCTGGTGAACAACTGCGCATGGTCGCATGCGCGTGAATAGGGAGGTTCAGAATAGCGCACTGCGAGCCCTTGTGGCGCTGCGGTCGCTGCTACTGCGCTTGCGTCGTGACGCAAGCCGCCGTTCGGTTCGCGTTTGCGGCCCGCCCGCAGAAAATTCGGAATAGCGTGCGGCGATCGCGGCCAGTGAGCTCCGTGAAGTGCTGTGTGTAGCTTCCGTGCATTTGGGTTTGCGGTCGGAGCGAGAGACTCCCCTAGATTTTTTTTTTCTTTAGGGGGAGCAAACGCTATTCTAAAGCTCATATGGCGCCCGCAACTAAAGCAACGCCCGAAACACCTGAGAACGTTATTCTAAACCTCCCCAGTAAAGCCTTGAAACACCGTATGCCACAACCCTACCATTTTCGGGCGTGTGGGTGTACCGTAACACTGTTAGTTCAGTTGTTAAATATGCTAAGCATAAAGGGTAACAGCCCAGTATGGTGGTACCCAAACCCTACCTTAAAACAGTCTATACAGGAAACGTAAAGCATATTCTTATAGAAGTAGTATGAAATATAGTAAGAATCAAGCCTTCATTAATCATAACCATAATGTGCGCATGCGCCCTTTCGCTCTCTCTCACGCGCGAGTGTGTCTACATGTGGGCGCACCCACTTCGACGTGACTGCGCTACTGAATCGGCCGCTTGAATATAATATTGCAGCCAAAGCCGGCATCTTACTTTTTATTGTATGAAAATTTGCTAGCTTAGATACTCGAGTGTCTACCTGTGTTGCTGCTTTTTTTATTAACCCGAGGTAAAGAGGTAATGTCGGCGCAAATGCGAAAACATTGCATCGATACTTACGAGCACCTTAAATAACTTTGGTTGGTAGGACCCGCAAAAGTGTATACCCTCAGTGTAGAGTGGGGGTTTCGTTACGTAATCTGTAGCAGCATTTAATTATTCTACAAGTTTTTTTGCAATGAATTCGCTTACAAAACTTACCATGTGCTCGAAGCAACTTATCACTCAGAAATGTGTGGTGGCTTGCTTTATTAAGGGCTTAACAGGCGGAGCGGAATGACTGTGGGAATTTCATTCGATTATAAATGTGAGTTGTTGTTCATTGTTTCATTCAACGGCCATGTGGGGCCTTTAATGTTAGCTATTAGTAAATATAGGGCGGGTTTGTGACTGAAATTTGTACATTTCAAATTTCTATTCTGTCTATAGGTTCTCACTCCTCGCAGAAATCCAGCAAGGGCTTCTGAATTGAGTTTTTCTTGTCAATATAGCTAAACTTCTCGCGTATATGTTGCCTTGATAGTATAATTTTTATTATAGCCTTGCCGCTCATCTTACTTTATATTAATACAGGTTTTTTTTTTGGGGGGGGGGGGCTCCATCTAAAACAATATTTCCAATGTTTTCAAAATAATGTGATTCAAAAAACTTGTAGCGTGCTTTTCGAGTATGCGCGTGACAATGTACACACTCAATTTCTGCCGGTTTATAGAGAGCAATAATTCTAACCTAAGATAAACGAAAAAATAAATTGATTACGGTATACCGAATTGCTCTCGATGGCAGGAAGAAGTGATTGCCGCTCGAAGTATTATTGTTTTTTTTTATTGAATAACTCCATTGTATTTTATGGTGCATGTCGTTTTTGACTGTGTTAATTTCAGAAACTGAACAAACCTAAAAACTATCTTGATATTATTGGTATTCGTGAAATGTTGTTGTATTTTATTCCTTATTAATCCTCACATAATGCCCTCCAGGCCCTTATGGGTATCCAAATAAACAAAAGACGACGCGCATTCGCTTTTTATCATCGCTGCAAATGTGATGGTTTGTATTTGGACGTACGATCCGCGTCAAATGAAATCCGAACTGCGGCAGTCTTCACGTCAGTGTATATATAGTGCGAGCCGTCCACTTATCCCCATGGACAGGTACGCATATGCGCACAGCTGCCGCACAGGATGTGCGCGCCTGTCAGTTGTGATGACTGGACGGTGTGCAATATATTCCATCGCGAAGGCTTGCGTCTTTCCGGGTTTAATTTGACGCAGATAGTACGTTGTTGACGATAGAATCGAATATATACATCGTGGAAGAGTGGGTGAACTAGATTATATAGTGCGTGATCATAAATTTTCAGAACACTTCCACGTTCGTGCATCGGAAGCATCAGAGCACAACGCCCTCAAAGGGCGTCATCGTGACATCACAGATTGGCGGAATTGGTGATGTCACCATGAGGTCACATGACATTTTCGCTTGGTCAAAGAGTAGCCCATCCCAGAGGCCATGCAAAATCGCGTGACGTGTGGGTAGCTCGCACTGCCTCTAATCATGGAGGATCAATAGTCGGAAATGGTCAATACACCGACTGAGAATAAACAAAAAGTGGATTTCACCTTGGCATCACCTTAGGCGACTGTATTGCAGACCGTGTGATTTTCGAAAGCAGGACATGCTAAGTACCGCCGTGTCGCGCATTTTCTTTCATATTGCACCATGCTGCGACAAAACTTGAAAAAAACTGCGACGATTAGGATAAAGCTTACTATGTATGCAGTCAATGAGTAGCGGATATTTTAAGCGTGCGGAAACAAATGAGAGCTTGTACACATATGCAGGAAATACAGCTCCTTCTTTATTCACAATGTGTCTTAGGGCAATGGGTGTACAAATAAAACATATAACTTCGGTAAAAGTGGGTAGCAAAACAATCACATTGAAGTGTTGAGTTTGGGAGGTCTCGAGAGGAGTGCGCTCTCGGAACGAATGAACACATCAGTCGCTGTCGAGCAAACCGTACACGTCCCCCGACGTGGTGGTCTAGTGGCTAAGGCACTCGGATGCTGGTCCGCAGGTGGCGGGATCGAATCCTGGCTTCGGTGGCTGCATTTTTCTTGGAGGCGAAAACACTGTAGGCCCGTGCTTTGAGATTTGGATGCACGTGTTAAGGAACCCTTGGTGGTCGAAATTTCTGGATCTCTCCACAATGGTGTCTCTCATAATCATATGATAGTTTTGGGACGTAAACCACACATAACATTACGAATAATAAACCACACAGACTTACATTTATCAACGTGCTTTTACATCAACGAGCTCGCTATAGCCGAATAGAATACATCACTAGTAATACTTCAAATAACCCTACACAATATTCTAATACAACACACTAACAACATAAGGGAGTTTCAGAATAACGTTTGCAGGTGTTGCGGGCGTTGGTTTAGTTGCGGGTGCCACATGAGTTTTTGAATAGCGTTTGCTTCTCGTAGGGAAACGTCTAGGGACTTTCGCCCCGACCGCTAACTTAAATGCACGGAAGCTACAGACAGCACTTTGCGGGCATCGCCGGACGTGATCACCGCATGCTATTTCGGATTTTCGGCGGGCGGGCCCCTAACGCGAACGGCGGTTCGCGTTACGAAGCATGCGCAGTGGTGTCGACCCGCACGGACCACCAGCACGATACGACCATCGATGCGTGCTGCTGACCTCAAAGAGAATAATTGCTGTTTCCCATTCACCGGCCTGGCCTCTCCACCAGAACAGCGCGGCTGACGCTGCTCCATGGCGCTACGTTTGCGCTAGCCCTAACCCGCGCGAACAAAGCTCCATTTTTCCCTCGGAGGCTGCTAAGCCTAAGTACGGCTAATTCGCGAGACGCGCGTGTGCCGTGCCGCGCAAACGACTTTACAGAGGTTGAAGCACTCTCGCAAGCAGTAGTAGATGAAGCTTCCATTTATTGATGTCCTCCGTGGTCTTCTATAATCATGGCTGCCGCCTTGCTGCCAATCATTAAGGCCGGTGCGCGTGTGTGACCGCTCACAATGTAGGGCATCACGGAGGTGTCAGCCACTCGTAGGTTCGTCGCGTTGCCTCGGACCCTGTGTGCAAAGCAAGGCCACTGTCGTAAATTCGTAGGTACAGCTTTAAGTTCCTTATATGACCTTATTACTTGGTCAAATTATGAACGAGATACCCAGATATGGCTCTTTAATTGTGGTGCGTCGATATCGTTGGTTTGATTCTCCGCGACCGCCATTTCGTGACAGTATGCTCGGGAACTTGGCGAATGAATCATTGGCTCACCTATGCATGCATGCCTTACGAGCGTGATGCTTGCGTTTTGTTTGTTCTCATGTGCAGTGGGAGTCGCGTTTTCGATCTACAAACAAAGAACTACTGAACAAAGTCTTCAGTTCGTAAATCATGACTGCTATTAGACAGCGAGCGTCGTTAATGATATGCCCCCGTGAAGTTTTCTTGAAAGTTTCACTGGTGATCAATTCTAGCTTGGCATGTTTTTGGGAACACAGGCACTGCAGAGAAAGTGCCTGTTTCTTTTGGCGCTTACATTTACGAAAAAAAAGGGTTTTGAAGCTGTTATCAAATAATCTAACCTCTTAGGAGATTTCTGCAGCACGCGGCAAAGACTCACACGTCCGTGATTGCACTAGTGAAGTACTGGTTGGTCAGAAGGGTGAAAACACTCTAGCTCGGGCTGCCGATTGATTGGAACTCCATTGATTGGAACTCTTCAAATATGGCCTATTTAATGTAAGCCTGGACGCGAGTGAGCCACACGTGGCCACCCTTCATGTGATATGCGAGAGCCGGTACTGGAAGTAGGAAAATACGCGCATATATTCACAATAAATGCAAACTATGTGTAACAGAAAGAGCGTCTTATAAACATATATATTGGGAATACCCCAATTTATCAACATGC